TTGTCTATAGTATGAGGTGAAATATTGTATATGTCCCCTTGCTCACTAGAAAGGGATTTGAAGTCTGCTTCTGATAATTGAAAGTATCAATCGGAAAGCGTGGATAAATTTATGCTTGGGGACACTTGGTTGATGACTATAATTTGTTCATTCTTCATGTAAATGAGAAAGATGATAATAAAATTTCTACTTATTATTGTTATATTGATTATGTAATGGTTATTGATGCACACACTTGACATTTTAGGCTTGACCACATAAAAAAAGACAAAATAAATAGGTTAAAAAAGAAATATCTTATTCTAAATTTTAATAATTTGGAATTTCCAACCGGTCAACACTACTTGTAAGGAAAAAAGACTAGGAAACCATTCAATAAATGAAAGAGAGCTAATGAGTTTTTTAATGTGGTTCATTTAGATATTTGTGGGCCTCTCAATAGTAAAATTCATCGAGGGATGTCATACTTCATCATTTTTATTGGTGATTTTTCTAGGTTTGGATTTGTATCTAATCCACCATAAAAATGAGGCTTAGAAATATTTAAAAAATATAAAAATGAAGTAGAAAAATAATTTGATAGAAATATCAAAATTCTTAGAATTGATAAAGGAGGCACATACATATCTGAAGCTTTCAATGCTTATTGCACAGCATAATGACATAACTAAAAAACATAACAAAACCCTCTTAGAAATGACTACATCTATGATAGCTCATGCTAGTCTACCCAAGACTTTATGGGGAGAAGCAATAAGAATATCCATGTAAATTATTAATAGGGTTCCAACTAAGACAATAGATTCTACCCCTTATGAATTGTGGACATGTAGAAGACCTGATTTAAGTAGCTTAAAGAAGTCGGGGTCAACAACACATGTTCTAATTCTATATCAGCATAGAAATAACTTGTAATTTTATAAGATACCTCGAAAGCTCAAAGGGCTATATTTTATTATAAAGATAAAAGACTAGTTGAAAGCAGAGATGTTGAGTTCCTAGAATATTTTAATGAAAAAAAACATATATGTGATGGATAATGATGATCCACTTAATATCATAGGTGACTTAGAGCCACCTACAGCGGACATGGATAACCCTGATTAACATGATGATGTTCAAGAACCCACATCCTATATTAAGTGGTCAAAAAAGGTCTAGAGCTCCTCCATCATACCTCATGATTCATATTCTACATGAATAAGGAGATAAACAATCTTATTGACTTAGATGAAATTAATGATCCCTTTGACTTCAATGATGCGATCACTAGAATCTCAAGAATGGCTTAATGTCATGATATAAGAATTATATTCTATTTAAAAAAATAATGTTTAGGATCTATGTGATTACCATTAGACAGGAAACTTATAGGTTCCAAATGAATATTTAAAAAGAAGCTAAAATCCGATAGATCAATTCATAAATTTAAAGCTAGGTTAGTAGCAAAGGGTGTTAAACAAACAAAGGCAGTTGACTATGTTGACATTTAATCCCCTGTTGCAACGTTTATATCTATTAGAATAACTTTGGCAATCATTGCATATTATGACTTAGAAATTTACCAAATAGATATAAATGCGACATTCTTGAATGATGAACTAAAAGAAACTATCTATATGAAGTAACCTGAGGGCTTCACAATTAAGGGCCAAGAAAGCAAAGTATATAAATTAAACGAGTTATTATATGGTTTAAAATAATCTTCAAGACAATAATGCTTAAGATTTCATGATGCCATCCTACAAATGGGATATGAAGTAAATAGATTGGACCATTGTGTGTATGTTTTGAAGAGTAAGAGTAAATTGACAATACTCTCCTTATATGTTGATGATAACGTATTAGCTGGAAATGACTTAGAAATAATTGATAAGACTGAGTCGTGGCTTTCTTCTCAGTTTGAGATGAAAGATATGAGAGAATCATCTTACGCCCTAGGCAAAAAAATAAAAGAGATAAAAAATCTAGAATGTTATGTTTGAGCCAAGAGAGATATCTTGATTCCGTTATTAAAAGATTTAATATTGAAAAATGTAAACCATTAGCTACTACCATTGAAAAGGGAATAAAGTTGTCTTGGAAGGATTGTCCAATAGAAGGACAAGAAAAGCCTAATGTACCCTATACACAAGCTATTTGTAGCTTAGCTTATGTAGTACGATGTACAAGACCATATTTGAGCTATGTTGTAAGTCTTGTAAGTAGATATGAAAGTAATCCAGACATAGCCCATTGGAAAACAGTCAAAAGAATTTTAAGACATATTAAGGGAACAAAACGTCTAAAATTGTGTTTTCAATAACATAAGTTTGAAGTTCTAGGATATTCAGGTGCAGATTTTGCTGGAGATAAAGACGATAGTAAGTGCACATCTTTGGAGGAGCAACTATTTCTTGGACTAGCAAGAAACAAATGTGTTGCCAAGTACACACAAGAAGTAGAAAACATTGCATGTAGCATTGCATATACAACTCTCTGGATAAAGCACTTCATAGATGATTTGAAGCTGCTAATAATCGACGAGCCGATTAAAATGTTTTGTGATAATCAAGCTGCAATTAAATTAATACAAAGTGGAACAAATAGCTTAAAATGAAGACACATAGATGTACAATATCACTACATTTAAGATGCAGTTGATAAGAATAAAGTAACTTGTTAGTTATTTGCCTTCATCAGATGTGATTGTTGATTCATTAACAAAGGATTTAAGCGTTGAAATACTTTCTAAGCTCACTAACCTAATGAGTAAAAAATATTTAAGTCAGTTGATTTCAATGAGTGACGAATCCGCATTAGTATGAAAAATCCTCATGATAGATATTATGGACATTTGCTATGAGAGGCATATCCACGAAAACATGAGAAAAAGACAAAATATTGTTTTAAAGGTCATACTTAAAAGTGGAAGTATACCCATGACCTATTATTGCGCTCAACCGCTATGGCTAAGTAGGAGATGTTCGTACGTATGGTCATGAGGCATCACATTACCTTGCTTATATTTGTGGGCTTCTTCTATTTTTATGGGAGGTATCCCATGTATTTATGCTTATCCATTTATAAATGAATTTGTTAAATACAATATATAAGTAATTAATTAATTTATAAAAGCTTTCTATGTGATGCGGATAAGTATCCTTGATATTTGAGAATCAATTTCTCAAAGACCCATTGAGAAAAGAACCATTGGGCCCATCTTCTTCCTATAAGTATGGAAAGTCAGAGAGAGGAAGAGAACGAAAAAAAAAGGGCAAAAATTATAAAGCCTCAAGAAAGCTTCTCTCTAATAGGATACTGATTAAAAGTCCGGGCTCTGTGATCACGAACCTTACGACACACCCCTCTAAGATCTTAGTATGATGCTCATCCTCGCCACAACAATTTTACTTTTAAGATAATATAATACAAATAATAAGATAAATATAAATATATAATATAAAGAAAAAATTTATGTAGAGTCGAGGCTCTAAACAATCAAAATAGAGCCCACCTCAAAACTTTCACTAGAAGAGGTTATTTTGATACTCAAATTGATTATCTTGCAATCAAGATGTATGGTCATGACAAAAAAATGGATTTCAAGTTTTGAAAATAGTGATTAACGCTTTTTTGGACTGTCGATTTTCAAAATTTTCAAGTTTTCTTAGATCTGTTTGATCTACATTATTTTTTAAGCTTTAAATTTTATAATTAAACATGAAAATATAGTTTAAGGCTATCACCAAGATTTTCAGTATTCAAACCACATTTCTCGAACTATTTAAAGGGGCGTTTTACTTTTGATTGTTTAGAGCCTCGGCATTATACAAACCACACACATAGTATAATATATTACAAATATAAAAACATTTATAATATAATATAATTACTTTATTAAAATAAATAAAAATAAATAATGTATATTATACTATATTATATAATATAATATATATCTATATCTATATTATAGTATATTATACATTTATATATAATAAATATAATATATTTATGTATTATATTATAATATTATATATTAATTATTATTATTATTGAAATAAAACTTATACATTAAATATATTTTATATATAAATAAATATTATAATAATATATTATATGGTAAATAGTAAAATAGTAAATCCGTGTATGAAAACAAAAACAAATGCACTGGGAAATGTTTTCCCGCGTGGTTTTATTTTATCATAAGGTTTTACTGTGGTATTTTATTTGCATATTCAACCAAACTTATAAAACACGATTTGCATATGCAAATATTTTCCTGAGAATATTTACCCATGCACCAAACATACCCCAAGTAGTGGGACAATTGTTCCTCGCTAGATTATGGAGTTTTGGGATGTACCATAGGATACGATATTGTGCGTGATTAAGATGCTCCCTTATAGGTTGGTTTTGGAGACACTTCTCTAGTTGGACATAAAACAAAGTTTCTAAATCAATAACTACCCTAAAACAAACTGCCATACTGCAAAGGTGAATGTTCTCTTAAAGGACCATGTCAGACAATAATTGGGTCAGCTTGTAGACTAGGTTCATTTTTGCTATGATATCCATCAGAGAACTTCAACAAGGAAGAGTACTTTCGAGTTGCCCATTTACGAACAGCTCCTGCACCGCATAATGTGGCCTTGCAACAGGGTCAAGCACGGTGCCCAGCTGCCATGAATTTGGCAGAGTCAAGCGACGAACAAAAAGTGCATCACTATCTTAACCAGACAATTAAGCCAATGCAAAATATACGCAAATGTAGGCCGATGGCACCTTGAGTTCAAATTAAGAACTTCATGCAGTTCAGGAACTTTCCTTCTTTTCTCTCTTTTGGAGGTATTTGAAAAATCAAGAATCTTGAATTTAATCATTGTCGTCATCATCATCATAACTTCATCCAAATCCGTTTCATGAACCTTACATAACAAGTAAAAAAAAAAGCTTAAATAAAACAGAACCCCAAAAAAAAAGCAGAGTAAAACAACCAGTTACACCACCACGACGACAAATCACTGTAATTAACCCCCTTTATTGATCTCCACAGCCATGGCTGCAGATGCACAGCGTATACATAATTTACTCCTATTAACAATAACACCAGTGCACTTCTCTCATATCCTTTTGCCCTCTACAAAACACCTCTTATCTCTTTCTATATCTCTCTCAGCTATTACATCTGCCATTACATCTATGCCGTCCATCTAATTATCCCTCTTCTCCTGTAGAGCCTCTCTCTCTCTCTCTAACATCTCATCGTAAAAGAGAAACACCATGGAGTTGTTCTACTTAAAGGACTCCATACGATTTGGCATCAGTGAGGTTCAGAAACCTAAACTCAATTACCAGGGTCCAGTAAAAGTCCTCCTCAGGGTCCTCATCCTCGCCCCACCACCTTGAGGTGCCACATTAGTAGTTGCCAAAGTCTCCAATAACTGAAAAAGGAAACCATGCCAACATATGAAATTATCATCATCCAGTAAAAATACCACCATTTTATCAGAATCCAAATACATGCAAACAAGCTTTCCAAATTTAAATCAAAGTACTACTTGATCCTTATTTTGGCCGGAATTATGCTGAAATCAGATGAATCCAGCCTAGTTTCTATATTTTAGTGTAATTGAATCAAATACGTAGAGGAATACTAGTTCTTTGCAGAGCAAGCATGCGTACCTTCTTCCTTCTCTTCTCTGTCGCTTCCTCCTGCATTAGGAAAAGAAAAAGACAAGAAAAAAAATTTTGAGCGAGATAGAGAACGAAGAGGCTGCCTGCAACTTCTGATGATTGCAAGCAGAGAAAAAGGAAGAAAGGCTCTGTATTTTACCTGTTGTTTCCTAAGCTTCGCATTTTCTTCTTTCAACTGGTTTAGTTCTGCTTCAAGCTCCACAGTATAGGCCTGCAAAGAAACCACATTAAACCCAGAGCATACGATTCCTGGTCTGAGTTTGAAATTTCAAGTCTTGTCCCAGAGAGAGATGAAATTTGCCCCCGATGCAAAAACCCAGATAACCAACCTGGACCAAGACTCAAAAGCTTTTAACCCACGCAACACAGAGAGAGAGAGCATTACCTGCTTGCGAGCCCGAGACCTTGCAGCTGACTCCCGATTTTTAATCATGCGCCTCTGCCTCCTCTCCACCACCTTCTCAACTGGCGCATCCAACACCCTCTTTCTCCCCCCCCTCATCCCCCCTCCCATCTCCCCACCACCATACTCCACCCCACCACCTGTCCCAACCGCACACATTCCCTCAGACGAGAGAGGACTCACAGGAGAACCGATACACAAACCTCCATTCCCCATCCTCCCTCCCATACATAACCCCCCAATCCCCCTCTTCCCATAACCCCCACCCTCTCCCACCACCATTGATTGCTGGTGATGGTTAGAGTTAGAGAGAGAAAACCCACCATTCCCATTATACCCCATCCCTATAACATGCCCAAAACCAGGCCTCTCTCCTTGACCACTAGGATACTCATAAGTTGGGTTCCCTCCACTGGGGGCTCCCCCATCTCTAACCACCCCTGCCTTAACCAAGAAATCCTCTAAAGTCATCTCTCCAAAAGTGGGTTGTCGAGTACTTGGGTTTGCTCCCCCATTATTCGAATTTGAGTTTGAATTTGAATTGTTGGCTTGCTCAACCCCATGAATATCAGACCAAACCTCCTCTACAGTCTTTTGACTAAGAGGAGCTGGAATAGTTAAGGAGTTTTGTCTAGGCAGACTTGGTTGCCTATGCATTGAGGATTTATTGGGCTCTTCTGCATGAGAAGCTGCAGCCTCCATCGCAGCTGCCATGGCCTGGCTTTCTTCAGCTGTCCATATGTTAGAAAGAAACTCATCCATGTTCATTGAGCCAAAGTTTTTACCCGGTTCACAAAGGGTACTTTGGAATTCGTCGAGGGTTAGTGAGTAAATGGAGCCTTGCCTCGCAAGGGGCGAGGCTTGGGTCGACGGCCTCGGGAGTGCTGTTGGAGCCATGGGGTGTGGGTCAACAGACACCATTTGTCGAAATTCACTCTGCATAGCCATGTGTGCCAGAGAGAGAAAGTAATTAGAGAAAGAGAGAGGAAGAGAATCCAGCTTTTGAGAGAAGGAATGATCTTTGGAGAGAGAGAATGGAAGTCTAGAGAGAAAGAGTTTAGAGAGGGAGACAAATACTGATGGTCTTGGGTAGAGTGAAAGCGTCTGAAGAGAAAGACAGTAACAGCTATGGCTGCCACTCTCAGCAGGGTCTCCACACCTATGAAGAGAGAAATGCCTATGGTCTTTGTTGGGTTGGGGAGGAAATTGAAAGAGATGAATAGCTATGGCCTCTGCATGTATTAAGAGCTAATGTCTGACAGTACTTATACAGAGAGAGTAAGTCATGGAAGGGGAAGTGAGAGATGCTTACAGACTTTACTACTCTCTATTTGCAGAATGGGTGTGTTGCCACGAAAACTGGCATGTGTAAAGACTGCTCCGAGAAACCTGCATTTACACATGCAGAGTTGGAGACGTAAGTAAGAGAGAGAGAGAGAGAGAGAGAGAGAGAGAGAGAGAGAGAGAGACTATATAATACAAATAAAACTAAGTACTATTATACAACAAGAAGGAAGTACGAGGTAGACGAAGACGAGTCGGACCGACGGACGTAGTAGGTTACGGGTTT